GATTTTCGAGCCGCTGAAAAATGCCGTCGTTGAAAAAGCTATGAAGACCCACAAATGGGACAGTAAAGCGTTCGAATATCTGGTACGTTCGATGAACGTTTGTAGTCTAATGAACTTATTCATTTTACCATGGTTGCAGAGGGTGATGCAACTTAACGCGCTGGATGACCATTCGGTTCCAAACAAGAAGACATGGGAAGAGGCGGCGAAGTTCATGGAGTCAGTGTTGAACGATCGATTCGTGAATACATCGAAGATCCTCAAGGAATTGACTGGTCCAAGTGTCATCGAGCAGTGGCTTCAGTGGAAGTCACCAAAAGAGTCGCAGTTGAAGCGGCAAGTTGTCAGTGAAGAGCTTAAGCGAATTCTTCGCGTCGACCCTGTTAGTTAAAATCTGGATCATGCGCTGCCTGTTTAAACGTGAGAGTCATTTAGGATAGAAAACCGTCGTTGACCGCTGAAGAGATCGTCGTCATCAAAAACAACCTGTTATCCAAAGGTGTTGACATAAGTTCTGAGGAATTACGTGAGTTTTGGCATCAGCTGTTCAGATACGAATTTATACAGCAAACTCTGGATTGTACGCGCGAATGCAAATCGCTGTTTTTCCATTATCAGAAGGGCTTTCAAGATAACGAAGTACATATTTTTAATCATGTTGTTTTTGGACCATTCGCAGATAAAAATTAAGTTGATTTACACTTTTTTGCATGTCTCATTTTTCAGAGGCGAGACTTCCATTGACTTTGCCCCATATAATCTTTGCAGAGATTTCCTCTATGATTTACCATTTATTACCCACATGAGCGCTGCGTGAATTTTAGAAACATTGCACTTGTGGTGCATGCACTGAGTTTGTTTGCCCGGTTTCAGTCCTTGTAAATTTTTTCTACGAATGCTCATGAAAAAATAAATATCCGTGCTGCTGTCATGTTTAAAGACTGCTTAATTCCTGCTAATAACGCTTACTGTAGAAAAATATCTTTCCTAAATGCTTACCGTTGAAATCGATAAGTCTAAACATACTGGAACATACTGTTAATCTTCTATTACAGTAAGTCTCTCCTTGAAGACGGGTTGAGTATGATCAGAAGTGTTGGAGAATATGTATATATTCGACTGTCATATAAAGGACTTTTTGGATTTTGATGTGTTTGTCCTGCAAAAGTAACAATACCGTATCCAAT